GCTCATTTCTTCAAAGTACTTAGAATAAATTCAAACTCCAAACAACTTTCTAAGCCATTTAATGCTTTCAGGTGTTAATCAGTTTCAACTGGAACTCTTCTAGAGGCTTCTGATAGATTAACTCAGGATCCACTGCCCTCTGCAGCCTGGAGGAGGCTGTCCTCCTGGGAGGAGGTTACTATGGGAACTCCCTACCCCTTGCTTGTGTTTGGTTCCCCTCCCCCTTCCGAGCACTGGGCACCACCTTCTTCCTCTACTCTGTTGTGGAGACTCTCTCCCTCCAGTGACTTCTTCACCAGCACAGCAGACAATGTCTGCATCTTGTGTACCTAGAAGCTGCTGTTCTGCCCTCCCCCCTAAGTGCCCTCTAGGAGGAAGCTGGTTTCCGTCAACTGTTTAAAATCATTGCCCGGCCTCCCCTGCTTCCAACAGCACCATTGAGAATCCTTTCTGTGTCTTTCACAAGACCTTTCCTCTCTCCAGCACCCTCTAATTCTAGTGGGGCAATCTTCTATTTCTGTTTAGTAAAACTTGGGGAAATATTTTCAATGTGTTTACTTGGCCACCAGTCCCTGAAGCTACAGCCATGCATTTCTCACACCCCACCTCCTGCCACACCCATACCCTCTCTCTCTCCCTCTCCCCCTGTCCCTCTCCCCCTGTCCCTCTCCCCCTGTCCCTCTCCCCCTTTCCCCCTCTCCCTCCCCCTCCCTCCCTCTCCCTCCCTCTCCCTCCCTCTCTCTCCCTCTCTCTCTTCTCTCATTCCAAAGCAAGTAAGAAGCTTCAATTTTGAACATGATACAGGCTGTTTGGGTAAAGGCAGATGAGGTATTCTGGATAGACTTTTTTGTCTACTTGATACTAGCTAGAATCATGTGAGGATAGGGAACTCCAGCTGAGAAAATTCCTCTATCAGATTGGCCTGTAGGCAGGTCTGGGGGGGGGTTCTTGATTAATGATTGATGTGGGAGGGCCCAGCTCACTATTGGGGGTTCTGCATCTGGGCAGATGGTCCTGGGTGGTATCAGAAAGCAAACAAAGCAACCCACATGGGCAAGCCAGTAAGCAGAGTTCTCCATGGCTCTGCTTCAGCTCCTGCCTTGGCTTCCCTCAATAAGCCCAGAATTCTGTGACACAGAATATATAAGCCAAATAAACCCTTTTCTCCCCAAACATGACTTCCATACATGCCCCAGGCATTCATATGTACACACAGACACAACACACAAACATGCCCCAGGCATTCATGTGCACACATAGACACACAACACACAAACATGCCCCAGGCATTCATGTGTACACACAGACACAGCACACAAACATGCTCCAGGCATTCATGTGCACACACAGACACAATAACACACAAACATGCCCCAGGCACTGGTGTACACACACAGACACAATAACACACAAACATGTCCCAGGCATTCATGTGCACACACAGACACAACAACACACAAACATGCTCCAGGCATTCATGTGCACACACAGACACAATAACACACAAACATGCCCCAGGCACTGGTGTACACACACAGACATAACACACAAACAGGCCCCAGGCACTGGTGTACACACCCAGACATAACAACATACAAACAGGCCCCAGGCATTTGCGCACCCAAACTAAGAAGAGAGGTCATTATCTTTTTTTGTGTGTTTTTTTTATTTATTTTATTTTATTTGTCATCATCTTATATCCAGTCTATAGTTTAGTGGTCCCAGTCATCTCAAGTGTCCTAGCATTCTCTCCTCTCTCCCTCTTCCATCATCTTCTTTGCTGTTGTGGCTTAAGCAGGGTTTAATCAAGCCAAACATACCAGATTTGATCGCTGAACCTCGTAGATTCCAGTCTTTTAACACAGAACCATCTCTCCACACATTCCACATTTCTACTCCCGCTATTAGATGTTTTTCAAGAGTCCTGGGCAGTTTGGGGCAGGGGACACATTTCCATTTTCTGTATCTGCCTGACCATTTCTTCCCACCACTATTTAACTTGTCTCTGGTTTAACTCTAGGGGCTTTATCAGACTCAGGTTAACTGTTTTGGCAAGCACACTTCACAGGTGACACAGGGCTCTTAGTGTTGCATCCCAAGGGTAGGAAGCTGTGCCTTCTTACAGTCAGTTACATTAGTCACATGATGGTGGCCAGCGTCCATTATAAAGACAAGTGTACCCATGCCAGTAATAAGTAACTTTGGAGACATGTATTACACACAAGTGCCCTGCCTCACAAAACCCTGCCATCCATGGTCTTCCATATACAGGCGATGCATTCTGATGACAGTTATTACTTGGACAGCTCATCAACTCTAAAATGCCCAAAGATGACTGGGGGAAAGAAAGGCAGAGGGAAGAAACAGAGATGGAGGCAGACAGTGAGGACAGAGCCAGAGCTGCGGCTGGCTCTGGAATCAGTTCTGGAATCATCCTCAAGGCCCTACCCTTTCCACACTTCATTCCTTCCAGCAGCGTGAGCCCTTTCGGCAAACATGGGCCTGAACATGAGCACAGATGGTCTCCTGCTCAGGGCTGGCACCTTAGTAAAAAGTGAGTGAGTTGCATTTCGGTGACCCTGGAATCTGAACTTCGTGTTGATCTTCACCCTTGACCTCAGGCAGGGAAGAACTAACACAGCGGGAGGGAGGTGTGCAGTCACGTTCAAAGTCAGTCATCTGGACAGTGGGTTGTTGCATGACAAGGGAAAGTCAACGCCAGCCAGCTCAGGCCGCCCTGGCTGGCTCTGTGAGGGAAGTTTACAGAACACACCCACCAGCAGGCAGTTCTCCAGACCACCCAGGTCCAACTGTTACATCTCCCGAATAACCACTTGCCACACTGTGCAAAAATGGGTTCTTTTGGAAGACACAGGACATCACTCAGCTGCTCAGTTCAACCCATTCCATCTCTAAGCATGTCTGTTCTTTTTCAGGTTTTTAGGAAATGAAGTTGATCTCTGTGAAACATTTTGGTGAAATTTTGTCAAAGAATGCTCAAATGTTTAAGTCACATCAGGTTATCTCAAAAAACAAATGTCTTTATGTATTTAGTGTTTTATTTTTTGTATGTAAGTCTTCACCTGTATGTATGTATATGCACTGTATGTGTGTCTGGTGCCCAAGCAGGCCAGAAGAGGACACTGACTCCTTCAGAACTGGAGTTATAGCAGATTGTGCATTGCTATATGAGTCCTAGGAATGGAATCCAGGTTCTGTGCAAAAACAGCCAGTGCTCTCTGAACCACTAGGCCATGTCTCTACCCCACCCTGTTTTAAGAAAAAAAGTCCAAGTCTCCATAAAGGCACCTGCTATTGAATACTGTTCTCATTCTGGGAATTCTTACTCTGCTGACAGTAAGCAAGAACCTCGAGTCCTGCTGCAATCTAATCAAGAGCAAGCAAAGGCGCTCTAGTAAAACGTTGAAAATTCAATGAGCAAGCAGGTTATTTTCCCTTATATCAGAGATAGCAAGCTTGAGGATTACAGTAGGTGTGTGTGTGTGTGTGTGTGTGTGTGTGTGTGTGTGTTGTGTACACACACCATTTGAGGAATCAGAGAAGGTAGCTCCTGGGGACTCCCCAGAAGTGGAAGATGATTCCCCACAGTGGTAATGGATTCCTGGGATGGTGGCCAGAGCTGAGTCACCAGGTCATGGTGAAACTCGGAAGGCAAGCCGCCCTCTTTAAACTGTGCTGTCCCTAGAGAGAACTGTGGTTATTTAAGGATGGATAAACTTTGAATTTATAAAGTATTTTAAGGTTTGTACATTTAAATTCTTTTGGCTATCATTTTAATTCATGCATTAGTTCTAAGGAGAGGGAGAAAGCATGCTCATATCTTTAAACAAACAGCCCTTCAACTCCTAATTAGCTGAAGTTTGGAATCTCTGCCCCACACAGCAGATACAGAATAAATGCTGAATTGACAAATTCTTCAGATTTTTAAAATATAATTGAGGGACCATCCTCTCTCTTTTCAACAACTCTCCTATGCCCACCATTCCTTCCTTCTTTATTTTGTGTGGTACCCCAAACAGCTCTCCATTTCCCTCCTGCAGAAGTATGTATGAATTTGTGAGAGATTAATTGCACAGCGACCCAACTCAACAAAACAAACCATTCCAGAGGGAGCTGGCACAAGCGCTTCATGGAGACATTTACTGCAGTTTGGTCTTCCCTAACTGCAGCAGCAGTGGGATACTTCCAGTGCTGAGAGTCTCTACTGACTTTAGAAATAAAATCCAGAAGTTAAAGGGGCAGCCAGAAACTTTAGGTGCTCATTCAAGCCACACTAGCCACTTCTAATGGGACATTCAGAAGTCTTCTCTCTGATAACAAAGGAAAACAGAACCCTTAGAGAGGCTAGATCTGGAATGAAAGCATCATCCACTGAAGACAGTTAAAAAAAATTGCCAGGCATTGGTGGTGAATGCCTTTAATCCCAGCACTTGGGAGGCAGAGGCAGGTGGATCTCTGTCAGTTCAAGGCCACGCTGGTCTTCAGAGCAAGTCCCAGGACAGCCTCCAAAGCAATACAAAAAACAAAACAAAAATCTAGGAAAAGAACAACCTCCAGTGATGCTGACTACCCTAATATGGTTTTAGTTATTTCTCTCCCTTCACCATCCCTGTCTCTGGAAGCCGCATGGGCATGTGTGAAGTTATGCTGTCCAATTCAGTGAGATATCCTGAAAAAAACAGGGCTCACTGTGCAACCAGTACAGGAAGCAGAAATGTCACAATAAACAATGTTGTTCAACAGAAATCATAGGTCATTATTCTGGACTAAGTTCTACACCAGGCTCCGAAAGAGCAAGCTAAATGCAGTGAATCATCCTGAGCTGAGGTGTTAGCTCACCAAGCTGACACCAGGTTGTTATCTGGCCTTTGGGAAGCCAGCAGAGATTACTGTAGGTGGACATTGGAGTGTGGAGGGTACCCTCTGGGATGTCCAGGTTCTTGTGTCCAGAAACTAGAAATCGGGCCAGGGATGTGTGGTGGTAGTAAAAATGAAGACAGTTTATTTAAAAATCAGACACTTGCAGGATGGGAAGTGGACCAGAGAGCCTGGAAAGTAGGTTGCACAGTCAGTGACACTGTTGTTGGGTAGATTGGGACATTTGCACGGGGCACACTTTTTTGGTGGATGCTCTGTTATCAGCCTTAGTGGGGCAGACTTTCCAGTCCTTTTCTGTCATTGGCCTCTTACATATGCTAATCTTGATGCCTCTTCCTCAGCCCCACTCTCCTGCCACAAGACCAAGAAGAAACTCCTCAAACAGCTGGCTTCAATCAGCCTAATGGGTGTTCTCCGCTCTTATCCTAAGTCAGAAGTAGGAAGCAGTAACCTGACATTAACCAGTTAGTTTCTGTGCTCTGCCTGTCTGCTGTTTCCTCATAACCAGAGCTGCTGTGATGACTGGCCCTGCTTGGGGGCTGTGTCTGCTGCCAGTCCTCTTCTGCAACACCAACCTTCTCTGCTCTGCTTGGGCCGACGTTCATTCTGGTCTGTACCATTCCATCCGCCATTCTTCTATTCTGCGTTATGATCTATTTTGTAATTCTGTTTATTTTATTCAAAGGCATCAATAGTCAGAAACAAAACCAGTTTATATATTTACAATAAAACATTGTGGTTTTTAATCTTTTGACAATGCAAATGATCAAGCATTGTTATAATTATCACAAACCATCTGAAGGAGGCTTAGAGACAGAAAACTCATGTACAACCTGGTAGCCTTATAAACTTAAGTTATCAAATAATTAGAGCTTCATCAAAATCTGTTTTATTTTCCTGTCTGCTTCTGTTTCTAACTTTTCTTTTACCATAAAGGTACACACATGCACACACCTATACGAACACACATCTACATGCACACACCTACATACACATACCCACACACTCCTTCACACATATACACACCTATACACGCACACCCCTACACACACCTCTATACATGCACACACCTATACATTCACACCTACACACAGGCATACACATCAACAATAACAACAATGAATACATTAATGAAATGAAAAAGTTCCCAAGGCATGGAGCTCAGAGACATAGTCCTTGCCCATGTATGACATCCTCCATTCAATTCCCACTAAACAAGTAAGAGAGAAAAAACCAAGGAGAAATCACTTAAGAGTGGTTTACAACTGTCAAGCTTCCAGGAGCAGTCAATCTTCTGACAGATTGTGGTGGAAGTCAGTGTCAGCCCTCACTTAAACATGTGCCTCAGTTTCTCCATCTATGTAATAGGGACAGCAAAGACATCTAGTTCCCACTGCCTAGATAGAATTAAAGGATGTGTGTGGAGTGTTTGGCTAAAGTCTGGGTATAGATCACAAACAACTGTCTATTGCCCAAAGAGGCATCACCTCCCTGACACTCCAGAGCCAGCCTCGCCCATCACTGCACACTGGAACCATCTCTGCATCTCCTGAAGATGTCTGGACCACAACCCAAGTTTTTCTTCATGAGAAGCCTTTAGCTCTAACGAAAGTGAAATGCTGAAATATAAACAGTAACAGGTTCACAAAAGAGCATCACTATTTCTGCAAACAGTGCAAGATTGTCCTGAGGTGGGTGTCAGTTTCCATTAATGTTACCATGTTAACGAGAGTTCAAAATAAAGTTACTTCATAGTTTTCTTAGTGTTCAAACTGACATCAGTTGAAGAAGAGGAAACAGAGGAAGGACAGAGGTGACTAGGTAAGAAACTGGAAACACCCTCATATCCAACAGAAACCCACTAGTGTGAGGACACTAAAATTTCTGTTCCATGGGGTAATATTTTTCATTTTTTCAGTTTGTTATTATTCTCAATTAAAATGTTTTAAGTTGTCTTTGCAATCTTTACATGCTCTTTGTCATAGATCTGATTGGTTGACTGACTGGAGTCAGGGTTTCATGGAGCTGAGGTTGGCCATGAACTCCTGAGCCACCTGCTTTCTGCCTTCCAAGGGCTGGGAACACAGGTGTGTGCCACAGTGTCCAGCCTAGATATGGTGCTTTCTCTGCATAAATTCACCAAATGACTAGATGCTGGGGAAGTATATGTCAATAAAGCACTGCTGGCCAATAGGGAATCAAGATAGGTGGGACTAGGAGTCCAGGAGGACTTTGGGAAGGAGGAACACAGGAAGTCGAGATGTAACACCATGGGGTAGGAAGCCCAGAAACTTCTCTGGTAAGAGACATACTTAGATTAACAATTATGGGGTAATTACTTAAGTCAGAGCTAGCCAGTAAGAAACAAGCAAGGCCAACAGCTTCATAATTAATATAGCCTCCTGTGTGTTTATTTGGGACTGATGAGGGTCTGGAACCAGGCTGGCAGGAAGGCTTCCCTTTACAACTAGATGTTATTAAACCAAAGTTGCACTAACTTGAGAAAAACAACAAAACTTAGCTCTCTTGACTCAGTAGCAGAGCCAGTCACACATCTCAGCCCCAGCAAGCTGACTATGAATCTTCATTTGCTCCAACCCCAAAGCCCAGTCTGTACCTATAAGGTCCTCAGGTGGGGCTCAACCATTCTGCAAAAGGACCGGTTTCATGTTTATGTCTTCCCAAAGCTACAGAGTATTCTGTGAGTGAGTTTGTCCTCCTCTGCAAAATACAACTGCAAGGACTGTGAAGTGTGGAATTTACTTCAAAAGGCAGAGAAGATGTAGTTGGTACGCCAGCCACAGGAATCCTCCAAACACCTATTGGATTCTTACAGCTCTCCTGTCGGGTCACCTACAGAATTAGTTTTACTTACACTGTGACCCTAAGCACTAAGTCTTGCCACTAACCCTTTACTGTGCCTTCTGGACCACCCTTTGAGCCTCGAACCCCCACCCAGGGTTTCCAAGAGCCAACGATGTAAGAATACAAATGACTCACAAAGCCCTAGCTCTTTTCCAAGCAGAAACACTCTTTCCCTTAGGTTCTTGCTTGCTAGTGCATAATCATAACTAACGCATATGTGTATCCGCCCCTCACTTGAAAAGGGAAATTCTAACCTAACATGCCCTTGCTCTCTTAGGCAAGAAAAAGAAAGAAAACATTTTTTATCTAAGGAGAAGCTGACAAGGTTATGGTAAGATAGACTGAGACTTGGATGTACAGGGACTCCATGGATGGAAGCTGGCTTTTGCCACATCTGTTCCGCTGATACAATGATGCTGTAACAGCACCTGCCCAGTGAATAGACCAGTCCAAATTTGCTTCAGGGTTACCCCACAATGATGTTTTCTAACTCTACTTTGTTTTGGTTTCTGAATGTTAGAATAATTGAGTGTGCTAGTTTCCATCACTATGACAAAACATCTGAGAAAGACAATTCCGACTCATGGTATGGGGAGTTACAGTCTTGGCTACTTGACCCTGTGGCCTGGGAAAAGTCAGTTCATCATGCTCGCAGTGCATGGGAGAAGCTCCTCTCACCTCGTGGTGACCAGGAGGCAGGCACTCTCTGGACAGCTGCCTGATTAGGTCAAGGCAAAGGCCAGCTCCCTACTTATGGCAGTCACTGACCACACTGCATGTGTTGTTTGTACAAGTGATTATGTGCTTCCTCAAATGTCAGCGTTAAAAACATCCCAACACCGGCTGAAATGACAGGGGAAATTTTATTCAAGACTATGGCAATAGGGTTATTGTAACAGGAGCAACAGAGTAGACGCGATACTGATTACAGCGAAGACAGGTGGAACCAAGAAGCCGGTGAGAAAGAACAGAAGGGAAATCACAAAGAAGACACAGCAGGGCTAGGGGATTTTTTTTTTTGCCAGAGTGGTTGGTGCAGACCAGGCAGTGAAGACCAACATCAAGACCTTTTTAAGAAGGCTCAGAGGAAGCTGGCTGTAGTTGAGAAGGGAAAAGGGTGTTTATTGCTAGCTGTAGTTACAGTTGATGCTATCATCACTGCTGGGTAAAAATCTCTTCTAGAAGATTGCAAAGCTTTCTCACAGAAAACAGGATTGCCCAACGGTTCACAGCATGGCCTTTGAGTCTTCTAGGTAAACACTGCACGTGGACCATCAAAGTCAGAGGCCAAGGGTGATGTTCTGGGGAACATTAACCCAGATTCTCTAGACAGGGGAGCAAACAGTCACAGTTCACAGGAAAGGTAAACAAAAAGAAGGGAACGGGACAGGTACACACAGAACAGTCTATGACTATGTGGACATCTGTGCTCCACTCTCGAATTTTACCAAGCAATGAAAACATGGATGCTTACATAGTTTAGATACTAAAAGATGACAATCAGCCCTGAGAAAAATGTCCAGCTCACCACTTACCCAACTTTAGGTGCCCAGAACTTAGAGGCCACCCTCCAAGACACAGGGCTACCAACCATCTCAGCATCTCCAGGCATTCACTAGTAAGACTTTAGAAACAGAAAGAAACACCAAAATAGGGATTTCAGATAAAAATTAAGAAACTCAATATCAACTGAGAGAGAGAGAGAGAGAATATGTGAAACCAGAACAAAATGTTTTAAAAATGGATACATTCAAAAATAAGGACTAGAACTGTTAAAAATTTTAATAACATTTCAAAGATATAGTCCAAGAAATCTCCCAGAGAATAGAAAATGAGGACTTTAAACTCAATCCACAAATTTCACATAAAGTTATGTATATTCCTGAGACAATATATAAACTAGAAACTTATCTCTGGAAAAACATTTCAGACTATTCCAGTTTTCTTTCTCTGTTGCTGTGGTAAATCACTGACCAAAAGAAGGATTTATTTGGCTTAGAAGTCACAGTCCATCATTGAGGAACTCAAAGCAGGGACTGGAGGCAGGAAATGAAGCACAAGCCACAGAGGATGCTCAGTGAGGTGGATTTCATAGGCACTGTCTTCACCACGCATCAGATTCCACACTATGAAACAACGACCTCAGCGAAGTCACCATGTCAAGATGACTAGCTAATACACATGCCATCTCCTCCTGGGAGGCTTCCATAAGCCCTTCCAGCCAGCATTAACTAGTTAGCTGATGTCCCTGTCACCTTCCTCCAATTACAGGGTTATTCTACACTGTAATGTTTTTGTGTTAGCATGGTAGACCACACATGGAACAGGAAATATTATCTTACTCCCTATATTTCCTGCACATGATCCAAATGGACTACCTCTCCCCATGCCCTGCTCTGTCTTAGTTAAGGTTTCTATTTCTTCAACAAAACACCATGACCAAAAAGTAAGTTGGGGGAAAATGGGTTCATTCAGCTTACATTTCCACATTTCTGTTCATCACTGAAGAAGTCAGGGCAGGAACTCAAACAGGGCAGTGACCTGGAGGCAGAAGCTCACTCAGAGGCCATGGAGGGGTGCTGCTCACTGGCTTGCTTCCCCTGGCTTTCTCGGCCTGCTTTCTTATAGAACCCAGGGCCACCAGCCCACTGATGGCACACCCATCATGGACTAGACCCTCCCCCATGGTCACTAATTGAGAAAATGTCTTACAGCTGGATCTCATGGAGGCATTTCCTCAGCTGAGGCTCCTTCCTCTCTGATGACTCTAGCTAGTGTCAAGATGACACACAAAGCCAGTCAATATAACTGAGCCCTTGTCATCTTGACACAAACACATCACTATCATGCCACAACCCTTCCTTTTTAAATTAATTCCCAAGATCTTATATTAAAAGCATAAAAGGTTCCATAGTCTTTACAAAATCAAAACATTAAAATTTCAGTCCCTTGAAAATAACCAATGTCTTTTAAAATCCAAAGTCTCTCAATTGTGGGCTCCATTAAAACGATTTCCTACTTCAGGAGGGAAAAAATCAGAGCACATTCACAATCAAATCAAAACAAAACCAAACCCCAACCGCCCAATGGATGGGGTCCACTCACCATTTTCTGGACTCTTCCAAAGGGCTTAGGTCACTTCTCTCTCAAGCTCCACCCTCTTCAGCACACACAGCTTGTCTTCTAAGCTCCAGAAGGCTCTACTCTGCTGCTGCTGTTCTTGGTGGTCATCCCATGCTACTGGTATCTCCAAAACACGGGGGTCTTCTGCTATAACTGGGCTGTACTTCACCAATAGCTTCTCATAGGCTCTCCCCATGGTGCCAAGTCTCAACTTCTTTGCCTGACCCCTTCAGTCCTGGGCCTTCAACTGCCATGGAGGCTGTGCCTTCACCAATGGCCTCTCACAGTGCCAAGCCTCATCTGCTCTCCAGGACCCCTGTGTGCCTTCAAAACCAGTACCACTTAGGTGACTCTTACACATAGCCAAGTCTGGTTGCCAGCATGAGGTACAACCTTGACTGCCTCTGGAACACAGCTTCTCTGTGCTCTCAAGAAACACTTCCTAGAAGATTTCCCCTCAGTGATGCTGGTTTCTTCTTAATCACCACAAATTTCTTAGCTCCAGCTGACCAGCATCAAATATCCCAGCAAAGTTTCACTTCAGTAGTTCTGGTATCTTGTTGATCACAATTGATTCTTCAGCCCCAGATAACCAGAACCACAGAATTTTAACTCAAAATAACAAATGGCCCCCAACAGTCTTTAAACTTCCCTCTGAAACTTCATAAGCTAAACCTCCATCCTCTTCACTGCTCTCAGCATTCTTATCTTCCAAGTTTCCACAGAACATCCCACGGAGCTCCTAACACTTAATGACTCTTCTAGCCCAAGTTCCAAAGTCCTTCCACAACTTTCCCAAAAACATGGTCAGCTCTGTCACAGCAATATCCCATTACACTGGTACCTATTTGTCTTAGTTAGGTTTTCTATTGCTTCTACGAACCATCATGACCAAAAAGCAAGTTGGGGAGGAAAGGGTTTATTTTGGCTTACACTTCCACATTGTTGTTCATCATTGAAGGAAGTCAGGACAGGAATTCAAACAGGGCAGGAACTGTGAAGGGATGTTGCTTACTGACTTGCTCATCATGGTTTGCCCAGGCTTCTTTCTTATAGAACCTAGGACCACCAGCTGGACCCTCCCCCATTGATGACTAATTAAGAAATGTCTTACAGCTGGATCTCATGGAGACATTTTCTCAACTGAGGCTCCTTCCTCTCTGAAGACCCTAGTTGTGTCAAGTTGGCACACACACACTCAAAAAAAGCCCTCCCCCAAAATCAGCCAGTTATCTCTCTCTTCTCTGTCTCTCTGTCTCTGTCTCTCTGTCTCTGTCTCTCTCTCACACACACATCACTACTACTGCACTACTAGAGACTCTTTGCTCTCCTTCCCAAGAAAGTGTATCCGAATCCCACTGCTGCTCAACAGGTCTAATTCTGAAACACAACTACTGTGCATAAGCTGGACCAGTGCAGGTCCTATTATAGCAAAAGGAAATATTCTGGATCTATTTTTAAGTTTTCCTAGTCATTTTTGAAAATGAAATTTTCATTTAAGTAATCAGAGTGGAGATCTGGAAAGATAGCTCAGCGTTTAGGTGCTACACTCACTGCTCTTGCAGAGGACCTAGGTTCATTTCTTATCACCCATATTGTTATTCACAACCACCTATAACTCCAGTTCCGGGAAATCTGACACCCTCTTCTGACCTCCACAGGCACCAAGCATGCACATGACATACAAACACATACATGCAGGTAAAATATTCATGGGCACCAAAAATAAAGCAAATAAAATTTAAAAAAATCATCCAAGTAGGGACTGGAAATGCAGTTCTGTAGAGTACTTGCCTAGCACCTGCAGAGCTCTGGGCTCAATCCTCAATACTGCAAAAAGTAAATTTTAAAAATTAAAATTAATCAGAAGCCAAGCATCATGGTGCTTGGAAGGCAGAGGCAGGCAGATCTCCATGAGTTTGAGCCCAGCCTGTTCTACAGAGTGAATTCTAGGCCCCTCAAGGCTACATAGGAAGATGGAGTCACAAAACAAACAAAGGGGAATTGGAGTAATCCCTTTGCTTTTGGTGTCTTGCTTTCTAAATGAATTGTCTGCTACAAACATTTTTTACTGCTGTAGATGTAAAATGCTGACAATCAGAGTCATTGGAGAAGTTCCATCCACTTCACTAGGTGTACAAGCAAGGACTTGTAACAAAAGCCCTAAGTCAACCGGGGCAGGGTTGGGTTTCACCTTCAATGGCCACTGTGTGTTCTTTCTGTCACTGGGCAATGAGTCTTGCTTGGTTTTCCATTTAAAGAGCAGACTTGGGGGATCTGGGGAAAGCGCTCGCCTGATCCCCAGCACCCACATAAGACCTAGATGTAGTAGTATGCACCTGTGACCCCAGAACCGGGGATGAAGACACAGAGGGTCACCGGGGCTTGTTGCAAGCTAGTCTGTCAGATTGAAGCTCCAGATTCAGTCAAAAAAGTAAGGAGGATGGAGCTGAAGGTTAAGAGCACTGTCTGCTCTTACAGTGGACCTAGGTTCAATTCCCAGCATCCACATGGCTACTCACAACCATCTGCAATTCCAGGTCCAGGAGATCCAATGCCCTCTCCTGGCTATCAGCCAGGCACATGGTGCAAAGACATACAAGCATGCAAAACATCCATGTACATAAAAATAAATGCTTTCTTGAAAGGTGGAAAGTGGTTGAGGAAGTCAGCCAATGTCAGTCTCTGTCTCCCCAGGTACTCCTACACATGTACGCAGACATACACACACATATATATACATGTGTGTGAGTGCATATATGTACACACACACCACAAAGGAGCATTGAGGCCAAAGAGAATGCTATTTTGGGTATAAAAGAATGACTAAGGCAGGAATTATAATACCCAACTTTCTCTTGCCTCCATTTGTCATTTGGAAACTACTCTCGGCCCATTATTTACTGAGGGCTATAAAAGGGGTGTTGAGTTGACAAGGAGAACCTAGGTGGCTAGCATGCATGCCTACATAAAGACAGACATGATCCACATGTTCCCTCCCTCTGGCTATGTCGCATTCCTTTTCCCCAACTGCCTGCTCACTGGTCCTCTTGTAATTTATCTCCAAGACAGAAGAACTTAGTGTGAGGCTAATCAACTAACTTCTGCCTGACACGCTTCGCCCATGATGCACCTGTTGTGGAAAGGACCTCCCTATCTCTCCACTCAAACTCAGTCCCTCTGTATACACCAGTCCCCAGCACCCCAAAGCACCTGCAGGGCACCAACCAGCCGGACGGACACAGGTACAACATTGGGCTCATGGGCATGTCACTGCTGGCACCCACGCAGGTGTTGGGTTCCTTCCCCTACACTTGGCTTCCCTGAAAACACCACTGTGGGCAAGGAGCGAGCATAGGGAAGTGGCGTGGGTTTCTCAGGGTCTGACAGGTCCCCCTGACCTGGCGTCAGAGGAGTGGTCATTACATGGCTGCTCAACATGCTCAACTCCTCTGGCATGGAGCTGAACTAGTTCTTTGCTCAAGAAAAACCAAAGTGGAGGGATGTTGCTCTTCAACTGAAATAAGACACACAGGAAGGCTACGATGTAGGAAAAGGGGTGAAGAAGAAACGAGGAAAAATTTTAAGTATGGCATCCCTTCTCAGAGCGCTGTGAGGGAACGCCTGCTTGGAGCCAGCTTCGTAATGGCTCTTCAGTGGCCTAGAAATAAATGTGAGCTGTGGACATGATAGACTCCCTCTCTCTCTTCACTGCACAGCCATGGGTCTTCCTGAAGGATCTGAGGAGCAGGCGACACGGAGGTTAGCCAACAGCTGAGAGGAGTGTGGGCCAAGTTAGTGCCCTGACCCAGCCCAGCAGCCTCTAGCGTATCACCAGCAAGAAGAAAGGAGCCCGTCAAAATGTCCTTGCTCCCTGAGCCCTGCCAGAGCCCTACGGCCCCACCAGGCTGGGTGAACTTCATTGCAGAGGAAACTTCGCTTTATTGTTGCTGTCAAACAGGGGCTGCTCATCGCAGACGGGGAGCAAGCTGCTTGGCCCTCCAGGAATCGAGGAAAATCATGAGCTAGTTGGGGAAAAAAACCCACAGGACTCCTGAAAAGCGGGGTGCCTTTCAAGCATGCTCTGTTCATCTTCCCTCTCACCAGGTCAGCTGCAGCTAGGTAGCGTTTTGCAGCTCTGAACACTCAGACCTAGAAAAGCTGTCTTGCACTAGGTTTGCACAGTGACTGTGGAAAGCAGCATTTGAACCCAAGACTGCTGGGCCCTGCCCTGCATTTCCCACCCTTTCCTCCAGAGGAATCCTTGGGCAGCCCTGCTAGGATTCAGGATCTGCCAATCACTCAGCCCCTCCCCTTTCTAACACGTAGCCACAGTAGGTCCTTTTCCGATGAGGGACATTTCCTGTGACTTGTCCTGGTTGACAAATGTTCTGTCACAGAAATTGACAGTTGAGCTGATTCCTCCCTTGAGGAGCGATGCCATGGCGGCTGGTGGTTTTGGCTCTCACAGATGTGGGGAAACAGGCTAGTTTCAGTTCAGTTCAGGCCACCACCAGGTGGGAAGGGTGACTCTCTTCCTGGCTTCTGCAGTCCTTGGTACACGTTGTTACAGGAGAAACTTCGTGCAGGGGTAGGGGCTGTTCTCTAAGCATGAACGCTCTGCAGACTGGACAGGCTTTCATTTGTATATCTAGTTCTCCAGAAGCTTTTCTGGAGCAAATACAGCAGAGTAAGTGTTCTGGGAGCCTCCCACCATCCTGAGGTGAGGCCAAGCTGAAGGGATGCATCTGGACCATAGAGTCCCGCCCCTGCCCCGCCCCCGCCCCACCCCAAGCACGTGGGAGGCAGGAAAAGGCAGAAGATGGGCCAGAGTGGAATGTCTGCCGGCTGGGTGGGAGGGCATGTTGAGGTTGAGGGGAGCATGAGGTCAGCCCTGGCTGACAGAAGCTGCTGGCAAGAACCACCTCCCACTCACCCTCATCAGTTGCCCATTAGAGGGTGGATAGTTTCACAGGTGGAGCAATTTCCTGGCCCCTCCTTCTGGTGTTGCCTTCATCCCCGTTCTCACTCCCCTGCACCCTGGCTTCCTCTCACCCTTCCTCTGTCTGTGTGTCCTTTCCCCCTTTCCTTTCTTGTCCCCTGCATCCTGGTGTGAAATAGGGACGAGCTTCTGGTTGAGTTCACCCTGCAGGTGACTCAGGGCTCCCCACCCTGGCCTTTGTAGGACAAGCTACCTGTCCCCCATATCCTGCTCTGCCCTTCCGATGTTTTGTTGGCTGGGCACAAGGCCACTGGGGATAAAGTGAAACACTAGGTTGTGTTATGTGCACCTTTCCAGAATGGACCGGAAATGGAGAAGTACCTTTCCTTTCTACCGTTTTGTTGTTGCTGCTGCTGTTAGCAGGAATGTGGGCATAATGGCTGGGACTTGTGCAACCATTTCAGCCTACAAAATATATGTTAGAGGCATTTTGCACAGCGAAGCATCTAGTCAAGCCACTAATGAATCTCTGAGAGAATCGTTTGACCGTAACCATAGTGTTCGGTCAGGGGAGGACTTCCATCTAGTTGGGATGAGTCTCACCGAGTTTCATGCCATCTTGTTGCAGAGGTTACAGTGCCCTGACATTTTCCCTGCTTGGCTAGGCTGGCCCCATTGTGCTGGTGTTCCTGCCTCCAATTGCTTGTAGGCACAGCCTGCAGCAGCTCTGTTGCTCTGGGCTTGCATCACTGGCCTCTCGCCGCCTGCCCTGGGGCTTTCCTGATGTTGTAGAAGACCAAGGCACTGTGGGACCCACTACCTAATCAGGCACACCGAGTTCAGGGCAGACTTGTGGGGCCATGGGCAGGTGGGCAGAGAAGGAGGCTGGCTGCTTTGTGGGTGGCAGAGCATAGCACAGATGCCTCAGCAGCCATTTCCTTGTCTGGCTTGCCCTCTGAGGAGAC